TAATCTATGATAGAATTTTTTGAAAATTTGTGATTTTTTATTTTAATCCATGATCGATTTTTTTGAAAATTTGTTATATTTTTTTTTAATCCATATTATTCAAAGAAAAAATGAAAGAGATGATGATTCTGAGGCCACCCTATCCCAGCCATATTATTCACATATCGAGTCCCAACAGCAACAGTATAGGGATGAGCACGACAGTGCAGGTGAGCATGAAGGATGGACAATCTTCGGGGATTTTAGATTGGGAACACAACAAAACACTAACACTCAGGGATTTGAGAATAGTCAAACGCCTGCTAATATCGATGATTCATTTTTAGATCGAATCAATGAATTGTTAAACGAATTCAATCAATGACACCAGCGTGACCAAAAAGAACAATAACATCGTCTATCATTTTATTTTTAGATCATATGTTACTAATTTTATGTTTTATTGTAGTCCATGTATGTTGATATACTTATTCCATGATAATTATATGTTTATCCTTTTGTGTGATGTAAATTAAATGCTAAATGGCGGTTCATGCAGGGAAAGAACATATCAATATTCGCATATTCATTCAAAAACATGAAAATTCTTAACGGAGTACCCTCATTTCTTATTGAATTCTTAAAAAACAATATTTATAATGAATTTTAATAATTTTTTTGGATTTGTTTTAAGCTTTATTCTGACCGATTCACCTGATTCCCGATCCGGATCACCTATTCGCCGATCCGAATCGGTTTTTTGGAAGCCCGATCCGGGTCATCGATCTGTTTTTTAAACCATTGGTTATAGCGGTATGATTTAAAAATTAACCATTATTATTTGGATAGATGCATTTATAAAAAAATTTATTTTTTTATCAAGTTTCCCTCGATCTGATATTTAAAATATCGTACCGCTATGTTTACCCCCTCAAAAAAACGAATTAACTCTCTCTTTGTGCTCTCTCTTTAGCTTCTTAAGCAAATGAACTCTCTCTCTAGCTTTTTGAAGCAAATTAAGTCTCTCTCTAGCTTTTTGAAACAAATTAACTCTCTCGCTAGCTTTTGTACCTCTACCCATTACAGAAAGTACCTCTCCCTCTCCTCTCCCCTCTCCCTCTTGAGCGGGAAAACAAGCACACGACAGGGCCACTATCACAAATCGGACAACTAAAAATGCATATAAAAAAATAAAATAAAAAAGAAGAAGAGAGGAGTGGTAGAAGAAGCAGAAACACAGGGAGTGGGTGTGCTGCGGTAAGGTGGGTCTAAAGCGAGGGCCATAGACCCATAGGAGGACGAGGTGCTCGCCTAGGGGGGGCCGACTTAAATGAAAGAAAGACTAATGCGATTTTATTGGGGAATATATTTTTTTATTTTTCTTCTTTTCACTTGTTTTTTTTTTTGAAAAGATCACCTACAAATAGTCTTATTCCAATAATTTTTGCTTCAAATAAAATAAAACTAACAAATCTAATATCTTTAAAAACTTTGATGCCACTAAACCAATTTTCTTTTAATCAAAGAAAATATCATCAATTATTATGCTTGGAAATATAAAGACAATATAATTAAATATGACAAGAAACAAAATGAGAGTGCCGAAGACTACCTCAGCTGGGCTTACTACACCCCACACCAAGTCACTACCATCCGATAGCGCGGGATCAATGATCTTTTAATCTCAACTAAAAAAGCAAGTTTAGGCCAAGCCACAACAACCCATTTGATGACAAACTCAAATCCTAAGTGAATTCCCTTAGCAACCTAGTTTAAAAGAGATAGATTATCTTTTTACTATACCCTAAAACCCTCAGCCATAAATCCTAGTTGAGGTATGGGAGAGAAAAAAACCTCATAGCCTAAACCCTTAGGTTCTTTCACAATGTAGGAGAGAGAGATCAAAGATGAGAGTGGGGCATGCCCCCTTTGGGCTTTCATGAGAGAGAAAAACTTCATTAGGAGAGATAGAAAGATAACGTGCCGAGATTTTGGGTAGAGACAATCTATTTTTATAGGCTTTCAATAATATTATGGTTTCTTATGGTTTTTCTTGCTTGCCTCTTTTTATGAGATTGAATATAAACCATTGATTTTGGGTGACTTGTGGGGTGAAAGATTTGAGTCATCTATTTCATAGATGAGCCATCAACATTATGGAAGGTGCTAGAACCTTTATCCCCCTTTCCTAAACCATTTTTCCATCAATAGAAATAAAACAAAATAATTTCAAATATAATACTGAGCATATCAAAATAATGCACAAACCTTCTTATGCTTTCCAAAAATTCATTCAAAGCTTCTTCAAGCCAATACATTTCCAAAATAAGCAACTTAATCTACAAGTCAAATCACTTATCACAAAAATAGAAAGCTTCTAAATAGGTAGGGTGTACCACTCATGAGAGGATCTCATGGGCCCCACCATCTAGGCCATGGTGGGCCCATGTGCACAATGGGCCCCCATACAATTTTAAATGTTTTTAAAACTTAATAAAATAATTTTAAAATTTATTTGAATATTTAAATCAATTTAAAATCAATATTT